CACACACACACACACATCAATCATTTAATCATCCAGCAGGTTTACAGTGAAAGGATTCATTTAGTGGCTCTCCTGCAAGAGATCAATATTAATCCCAATATCTGAATAAAGCATGATAATGAAGTACAGTAGAGATACAGTAACAGCAGTAATATTCCAGCAGCTGGGAACGGACACTTTACACTGTAAACCAATGATGATTATTTACAGGTTTTAATGTTTGATTATAAATATTACAGTGTAAAACAATGATCTATAAATCCAGGTGAACTCTGCTATAATACAATAATCAGACTTACATTACAGCAGAGTGCTGTTATTATTGGATTGTTCTTATTTTAATGTGAATGTTAAAAGTATTAGAACTGCAATAAAAGTCATTATCTGTGAAATGACAGTAATTATTGCTGTTTACACTGATAAAAACTGTATCTTGACGTTACGCAATGCTTACACACTGATAAACAACATTATACAAGATATCTGTCGGTTAACTAACTAATCCATTAAAATTACACAACTACTGTTAATGTCACTGATTTTATATCATTTTATAAATGTATTAACCGTATTAAACTAGAATCTAACAGTTTAATCTATTAAATAAACAGTAAATATCTGCGAATAAAAGGAAATAAGCAGTAATTTTCTGTTTATTTACTGTTAAAGATTTTTCAGCTGTAAACTTACAGATTGTAAACCACACTGTAAAAAAACAATCTATTTCTCCAGAATAAAGAAAACATGTTTGTTTGGTTCAGAACCTCCAAAGCTTTGTGAGTCGCATCACAATATCTGTCCCGATAATGCAATATGAGGATTTTACCATATAAATAATCAAAAGTTTCCTTTATTTCTCAGACTAAATCTATTTTCTTTAACTAACTACTTAACTATTAACTTATACTGCTTTCTTTTTAAATGTGTTTTCTTTAATTTTCCTTTGAATTCTGTATCGGACAAAGTTTTACGCACCGCTTCCTTTTTATAACCTAACCCTCCCCAATAAACACATAAAGTACTCTGAATACTCTAGGTTATGTGGTTGATACGTGTTAGTCGTGCTGTGCTCAGTTCAAAGGTCAGCCAGTGAGCAGAACATAGGAGCTTTTATTGTCTGTACGTTTTGTGCTTGACCAAATAAATGAGATAAATATAACAAATCATACAAAACACAGAATAAAGGACAATAAAACACAGTAATAACCGGGACAAGGCCGGGACCCGGGGCCGGGACTCGGGGCCGGCTAACAACTGGAACTGGATCCAGAACTGTGGATCTGAAAGGGAGCTGCCATCCTGCGGGGGTGGTGGGTCAGGATGATGCAGCCAGGGACAGGCAGGGTGAAATATAGGTAGTCGGAGCCATCCTTGTTTAAAAGGATAAAATCCTTCATGTGAACTTCATGTCCCAGGGTCAAAGGTCGACACCTGCAGGAAGAAGATCATTTACAGAAACTTTATCAAAGAATGTCACAGAGACTCCTCAGGTCACTGTGACCCAGTTTAATACCTTTTATCTGATCCATCGAGATATGAATTATTATTCCCAGAGTCCATCTGAGCCCAGACGGAGCCCCCTTTCAGGTGGTACTGTACCTGAGTCCCGCAGGTGGACCCAGGACGAACCACCCACAGGAACCGACTCTTGTTCCATTAGAAGAAAGCTGTGGATTAGTTCTGTAGTTCTGTAGCACTGTGAGGTTGGTATTAGTACTCTTACTGTTGCGTGTTCTGTAACGGACGCAGCTTCTTGGGTTTCTGATTCATAGCTGCTAACCAGCTAATGCTAACAAACAAACACCAACAATTAAGAAACATTTAGTTGATTAAAATGTCCCTGAACATGTTCCAGGGTTCAGCTGCCCTCATTCACTTTAATGTACAGCTTTCTATTGGCTGTCAGAGAGAATCACGCCGGTGTCTGATTGGCTGTTCGTCCTGTTATCAGTTTTTATTAGTTGTTTAACACTCGTCTGTCT